TTTGATTAGGTTCAATGTTGAACCACAACGTTTGTTGGTTGGCACACAATACAAAATACTTTTTTCATTAGTGAATATAGGTTTCATGTGCACACAGACCTTAAGGCGCGATCGTTGAATAAATTTGTTTTGGTGTCGATTCTAATTCGACACAGTCCTCATGTAATATGTAATCCAGCCTACTTTGCTGGCGTCATATATGGTATTGACACAAAATATCTGGCACATGGAGAATGAGCTCGTGGTGGCAATCATTCGGAGTAAGGTATAATCTGGCGAGCTGGCTCGGTATGGACTACGATTCTTGGCGAGCTGAGATTCTTCCGATCCGTTGATACAGGATACTGTAGAGGACTTGGGAGCATTGTGCCAGCAGACGTTGTCCCGATTGAAATAGCTGTGAAAAATTGATTAATTTAGTTCTTCCAACTACAGCTTTCGATTAGACAATTTAACGAATACCTTCCATTCGTCTAGTCTGATTAAATGAAGATTACACCTACATCAATTTACCAAGGAAGTCTTCGAAAATTAGCTTCTCTTCATATTTTCATTAAATTCTTTGAGGGATGTGAAGCTCGATTTATGATTGGTGTTAGACGGTTGACAGACTCTTAATAGGTCAGATCAGTCAATATGTAAGAGACAGTCAGCCGAAAACCACCAAGATCTTGAAGAAAGAGCTAAACCTTTCACTTCAAAATGACATAAGCCTTCTAGAAGACATCCCGGTGAAGATTATCAATATCTCAAATACGTTCCCTGTGGAGAAAAAACGGGAAATGGAGATAGAACTAATTCTAATGATCTTTAGACATCAAGGACTAACACACATTAACAGATTTGCTAGGATACGCAAGACCCTGGAATTAAATGAAAAATTAGTCCTTCTAAAGGATATAGGAGGAGCGATGATGATAATGGGCAGAAAACAGTATAGCGAGAGGATGGAATGTATTCTGTTAGGCAGGACTACATATTTTATACTAAAAAAGGCCCCAACTATGAAGATGATTGGAACCCTACCTGACATACCGAAAGCTAATAATAGGAACGGGGAAATTGACGCATGTACCAAAAATTCAATCATAAAAAAGGATGCGCAACAACCAACAGCCTAAGGATTACCGAAGATAAACAAAGAAGGCGAACCACTAAGACTGATAGTCAACAACAAGTATGGGGCAACACACAAATGGGCAAAGTTCACATGTTTGAAGCTCAAGGAATTAAATGACAGGTAATAAAACACAGTGGGGAGCAAGAATTTACACCGAGCAAGAAGAAGAGGCCTGATTAGCCTCGAATCTGGTTTTGACTCTTACATCACACTCACTTCAAGAACAATGTATTCACACAGCGCACGTGCAATGGAACGCAATCACATGCGGTAACATTAGGGGATAAAAGATATAAGTGATTAGAGGAGGATGCCGCCGTTCAGTCACAATTACATCAGTTTCATTCTTCATCAGCAGCTACTTAACTTTTCTGCAAACATTTAGGCAAAGCATAGGATATCCAACCAAAATATGATATACCTAATTAAATGGACCAAATTGGACTATAAGAAGTAGGTATGCTTAACGCTAGCCATCATTCATATATAGTAGGGTTTTGGTGAATTATCGTTAAGCATAGTGTTCTACTCTGTCGCTTTCGGTAACATGAAAGATGGAAGCTAATCAGTGTTTCTTAGGGGTAGTTGAGAGGTGAGCTGAGGAGCTACTCGCACATATCGACAATCACAACTCAAAGGCTTTTCTGGTAAGGCCAACTTACTAATCTCTCCTACTCTCCTCTTCAAACGAAATGAAAAGTATCCCAACATTAGAAGTGGGTTGACCTCATCTGAACTTGGTCTTGTTATCAGGGTGACTTAGTAGAACGCAACTAGTCCGAAGTCGTATGCTATAGTAGATGTCATCATTCCCAGCATCATACAGTGAGGCTGGTACATTCTCAAGTGCTTCACCGGCATTGTAGTCGGCATCATCAGTGAGTTTTGCCATTCTCCGCACCAAGCTATGAACTCGTCAAAGAGACAAGGGAAGTCAATCCCTCGACAAACGTTCTGCCGAAAACGGTTACACTATCAGTCCTCTTTCTGTCCTGGCCAATCTATCTACTCTTTACCCTCTTATCCCACTGCCGCCCTATCAAATTCTGACTTGTTTATATTCCACTCGCCAAAATGTGTGCCCTTTTGTGGCAAATCTAGTGTGGCCTCATCGCACTTGCTATTCACCCCGATCCCCTATTTCGATCGGTTGATCCGACTTGGGTCTCCATTCTGGATCTCCTCATTGTCTCGTAGATCCATTCCTTATCTTTCTGGTGGACAGATTTCACTTGGCTCCAGTCCCGGTGTA